TGCAGCAGTCAAGGATTCACTTCCCCCGGCAGCAGTCAAGATTCTTTTATCTCCATCTATCCAGGATTCATCTATCCCCAGCAAGACAGCTCATCAGCTTACATGCGTATTCATTACATTCATATCATAAACATTGATATAACATATATTGCATCATACATTTCATGCAACATAACTTTGTGTTTCAGCTAATATTTTACCCTTTTCAGGATAAGATTAATAAGCTCCAACTTTTGAAAACAGTTTACGGACGCTTCCCAACATGGATGCTGCTCTATTGCTTATTCAACTTCAAGACTTCTGAAAACAGTTTACGGGTTCTCCAGACACGGATGTTAACCTATCGCTTGTTCAGATTCTTCAACTTCTGAAAACAGTTTACGGATTTCTCCAAACACGGATGTTAATCTATCGCTTGTTCAGACTCAACTTCTGAAAACAGTTTACGGGTTCTCTAGACACGGATGTTAACCTATCGCTTGTTCAGATTCCAAGACCTCTGAAAACAGTTTACGGGTCCTCCATACACGGATGTTAACCTATCGCTTGTTCAGATCCAACTTTTGAAAACAGTTTACGGATTCTCCAAATACGGATGTTAATCTATTGCTTATTCAGACCCCCAGTCCAGAGATGTTCCAAAACATGGACACCTTTCTGATACTCATTTCTTTTACCTACAACATACATTCCAGATGGCATCTTTAAGCCCATCCCCGGCAAGATTCTGTCACCCCTCCAGATGGCATCTTTAAGCCCATCTCCAAATGGCATCTCTAAGCCCATTCCCGCATCCATTGTTTTGACGAGTGCAAATTTAAGGGCACACTAGTGTCCAATCTCCTTTTACCTTCGAGACGCGAAAGGCAAACTTGCCAATCTAACTCTTCAGGTGCAAGAAGATTGAACAGGGGAAACTGTTGTACCCAAAAATTTGCCCTCTCATTTCATCAACATTTTCTCACCACAAGACTCTTGGAACTCAAGATCAAGTTAGGGTTTGCTCTGCTCAAGACCTCTCCTTGCACTGTTGACCCAAATTAGGGTTTGAGTTTGCACAAATATGTTTTGACCTAAAATGCCCAAAATGACTTTCATGCTTCATGGTGGACTCACAAGTTTATCCATACCAAGTTTCAAGCCTTGATTTCAATCTTTGCCCAGTCAATTGGACAGTTGACCTAAAATCAGCTGTATTGGGGAAAAAAGTCAATTGTGGCCAATTGACAGTCAAACTTCATGATTTTTGACCCACATCAACATCATGAACTCATATGAACCATTTGGTCAAGTTTGGATCACAATTCCATAAGAAATTTGATCAGATCACCAAAAGGGCAAAATGGTCATTTTTAGGGTTTTGACTGTACAAAGGTAATTTTTGACTGTTTGACCTAACCAATGGCAAACCAAGCTCATATATGAACTCAAGGGCTCAATGGAATTGTCTTGATCCATTCAACAAGTTCAAAAGGTCTCAAATGCACAGGATTGACAGATGAATTTTCCAGTCAACTGATCAAAATCTGACTGTATACTGAAAAGTCAAACTTTGACTTTTTGGTCAAAATCAAGTGCCAAGGTTCATTTTTCATCAAGACATGTCAAATTATGAAACTTGTTCATCAAGAAACCCAAAATTGCAAATTAGGGTTTAAAATGAAGAAATTTCATAACTTAGAAATTTTCTAAGTTATAAAGTTTCCTTATTTTTTCCTAACTTTGTCCCATTTTTTCACCAAGATGCAAATGGATTCAAACAAAACTAAAAACATTAAAGTTGTATTCCATTGCAAAATCTACAACTTTGATTCACAAAGTTTTCTCAAAGGAAGCTTGTAGCTCAAGTTATGATTTTTGAAACAAGGGTGCAAAACATTTTTAACTTAGAAAATTTTTGACCTATTCTAGGCAGGATTTTTGTCCAACTTCTTGGCCATTTTTCACATGCTTCCACTTGGATTTTCAATTTGCATTACGAATATGGATTGTAGTACACATTCCAAGCTTTCCAAATTGTCTAAGAACTTCTCAAACACCCTTGTGGTTAGGGAGAATCGAATTTGCAAAGTTGGGCAAAATTCACTTTTGTTCATAACCAAAGGCATGTTCATACAAGTCTCATTTTCAAATCAGCATGCTTGGAACTTGTTTGCAGGCCTCTAAACCAAGTTTGCACTCCATAATTAAATGCTTAACCTTTGTGTTCAAGCTTTGTTTTGTGCATTTAGTCATTACACAAAGAACTAATCCATAATTAGAAAAAGCAACTTTGCCATTTTTGTAAAGTAGTGTTTTATGTCAAATTCAAAATCCAAGAGGCATGGGCCAGATCTTTGAGGCTAGCATTTGTACACAAATCCCTCTGATCAAGAACAAGAGAGGCAGCATACATAGAGGGTGGTACATACCTGTATTGGAACTTACACTATCCTTGCTTACATTAGAAGAAACTTAGCAAACTCATACCAACACTCAATTCATGTAACCAAGAGCTCAAGCAAACTTTGTGAACATCTTACACACATCAAAACAGACCTAAGGCACGATTGAACCACCTCCCAAACCTCCTCATTCACCAAAACACCATTTTTCTGCAAGAAACAGGGCATCTCTGCAGATTGAGTTGCACAACTCAGTTTGCTCGTGTGTTTTGGCTAAAACCAGTTCAAATACATTCTATATTATCCACACAAACTATCCCAAGCATTAAATCCAAGCTGTAACATCCTTAACATCGTTTGCCATTTTTGCTTTCAAGCTGTGCAGGTGGACTTCCATAGCACGATACAGGCAGTTTCAGAGCAAGCCAAGCATAGGAGAAGCATCCTTGGACTTTAGGCAAGTTGTACCAAAGCTCAAACTCCATTGAAGATACCTCTATTATTGTACACGACTCAAGCTGAAACAGGTAAAAACATGAACTTCTATCTCTCAATATAGGAAGAGTTAGGCTTAGGTTTGTGAATGAAACATGTTCTCCTCATAGCCCTGAAACCATCCATATACTTACTTTTCATTTATATTGAGTATGCTGTGAGAATTTTGGCCATGAACATTGGAGAAAATTTAGGTCAGAAATTGGGGAGGAAGAAATTCTCCCTCGTTTCTTAGAGTTAGGTCAAGTTTTTTATATGTATGAATTCGTCTCTTGATGCTCTACATTATTTGTGTTGTGAGTTTTTGCTAAAAGTCGAAGAATCAGGAGTTTGTGTTGGACATGGTGAAGCGCGCGTTTTCTGTTTGAAACAAGGCTGGAGGTTGAAGAAGGTTGACTTGGGCTGGGCCTGAGTTGGTTTTGCTCTTTGCACACTCTTTTTCCATTTTGCACCCCCTTGGCCCATTGTGTGAAATAATTGTCATTTTGCATTTTTTCTTTTTTGTTCTGACTTATTATTTTTTGCTCAAATATAAAAAATATCAAAAATATTTTTGCATTTATTTGGCATTTATTTGTTTTATTTAGCATATACATGTAAATAAATATAAAAACCTTTTTATTTAAAACCCTAAAAATAATACAAAAATAAATATTTTTTAGTTATTATTTTTTGTTTACATTTTGAAAACATTTTCTAAAATATACTTTCTTTTTGTAAATAATTAATATTTTATTCTTGTATATATTTAGTATATTTAATATAATATATAAATACTTATACATATTTTATTAAATATTTAGGACAAAAATATGAAAATAATACATTTTTATTTTTATTAATATTTGACATCAAAAATACTTTTTTTACAATATACTTTTTATTTTGTATATAATTAACAAATATTTTATATATTTAATAAATAATTGCTATTTATTCAAAAATTAGGGTTTTGCCCTAAATAACAAAAATATTCAAAAATTTGTCCTTTTTATTTTTGTTTATATCTCACATTAAAAACATTTTCACATACATAAAAAATCATTTTGTGCATAATACATTTTGTATATTTATTGTGTTTACTTTACATTGTACAATTAAATATTTGTATATTCAATATGGATGTAATAGTTTTAGATTTAATTTCTTGCTAAATATCCCCCCAGTCAAACATTTGTACCCCCATCCCCATAATCATGTTGTAATAATTTAGGACTTTAAATTTCTGCATTTAAAAGCTTTCAAATTATACCATGATAGACCTAGGGTTTGTATGCAAAATCAAATAACAAATAGCTTGACCTAATTCAAGACAAAAAAGCATGAAAATGGACAACACAATGCACACTTGCACCCTTAGGGTTACTCCACTTGTTGCCTTAAAAAATGGGCCATGTTGCATGTTGAGTGTCTTTGGCAAAACAAAAACAAATCAAATGATCATAGTCTCTCAATGACGCTATCAAGTTGCCTAAACAAAATGATCATAGTCCCTCAAGCAAATTGCCAAAGACACTTGACACTATTGCTTTCATGGTCTAAACGATGACCCGCGCCCGTCCCGTTAACATCCTAACACAAGATTGTCCACCAAATACAATGGTGGAACAATACTGTTAAAAGGGTTAAAACATAGGAATGATCTTTGAGTAAATTTAGGGGTAGACAACTCTTAGTTACTTGATCAAACTTGCAAACCACACTTGCCTACTTTCAAAACACACTCCACAACACAACTTTTAAAACAACTTTCAAAAAAACCTTGAAACATCTTTTCGAAAAGACAAACACCTTTTGTAAAATATTCGAGTAAAGAATTGTTATAAGGGTTGCCTAGACAAAGGCATCTTTTTCAAAACATTTTCAAAACCACACACACAAAGCATCATTTCAAACAATTGAAAAGCAAAGGCAAGTGATCTAAGCAAGTAACTAAGAGCTCATGGATAACTATGGATAGAAAGGGTGTTAATACCTTCCCTTTCTATAATCTACTCCCCGAACCCAAGAAAACATCTCAAAGGTTTTTCCTGTGCTTTTTAACCTTTCCTTAGGATAAAATAAAAAAGTCGGTGGCGACTCTTGCTAAACCGAAACATTTGCGAAAACAAACGCAAAACCTCAAGTCAGTTCTCTCACCGTATCACACTCTTCATAGATTGAAGAAACTCTTTCAGACTCTTGATCTTCAAACTCAGTGGTTCCATGGATGTAGTTCTTGAGGACTATGTCTATGTTGGGTTGGCCGAAAGCGAATAGTTTATCAGCAGGAGAAGACACAATCATGGCTATATTAACATCGCATAAGACACAAAGTTCAGTGGCTTTTTTGAATAAACCTTGTCTTCTTTTTGAGAATGTCACTAGCTTGTTGGAATTTTTTTCAACTTTCTTGATATCGATCTTCTTGCGCTCTGTGTTTTTCTTTCCTTCATCTACTGTATTCATCATGAAATTGAAATATATTTTTTTCAACTAAAAATCTAATATTCTAACTGATATCAAAATAAGTTTAACAGATTTATGTGTATATAAAAATATATATAGACGGTGTACAACTTTTTTATTTATGCGATTAATCAAAATTATATAATAAACTTTGAAAAAAATATATACTTTTTTTCTTTCAAAAATTCGTTTTTTTAAATGCAAACTTATTGAAAAATTAAACCAAATTTAATATTATTAATTTAATTTTGATGCTCTTTATTGAAAACCGCTAAAACAATTTATATTTTAAAAAAATTTATATTTAACCAAATAAAATCGAATTCATGTGTTTTATTTTTTTTATATTAATATGATATAATTCATTAATTTATTACTATATTTAATTTACATTGATTGATAAGGTACCTATATTTTATTTTGTGAATCATCTATGACCTTTAAATTAGTATGTATATTTAATTTTATCGTAACTATCTCTAAAATTATGGATATGAATGATTATAGTGTGTTTACGTATAAAAGTGCATAACAATTAAATTTTATGTTATTTATTATTTTTAAATTTTTTTTATAACTATTACTTTTCTTTTGTTCATTTTTTTATTCTTTCATGTTTTAACATAATCGAGATTGTGTGAAACCAAAAAAAAAAACATAATCTATATATAATTGATTACCACCACGTTTATAAAATTAATCTTATTAAAATTAATTATATTTCTAAAATTATGTGTAACTTTATCATTAATGTTTTATTTAATTTCTTAATTCAATTTTATTTAATTTTTTTGAATTTTTTAATATTTCTTTTACCCATTATTATATTTATTAGTGTGCATCTCTATTATCTAAGCTAACTAAAATCAATTCTCTCAATTTTAAGTGTTTCCCGTATTTCAAGTAAATAAACTCTTTTCTAAAAAAACGCATTCTAAATAAATAAGTAACAGCAATCTACAACTTATCAATCTAATAAATCACACGTTAAACAAGGTTTTGAAATCTAATGTTGTTGTTCTTCGTTGTTTTTTTCATATGGTGCAGTGTGAAGCACGAGTACTCCATTTTAGGTAAAGTATCGATACCAGTATTTATTGGGTATCGGTACGCATATGGTACACGTCCGATACGCATCGAAGCCTTATCATTTTTTTATATTTTATTTTTAAGTTGGTACACCAACCTATACACATTTGGTACCACGTATCCAACTTTTTAAATTTTTTTCAGACGATATAGTTTAGGCTTTTTTATTAGGTAAAAATTAAGTTATTTTTTCTATTTATAAATAAAAAATTTAAAAGAAAAATCAATCTATTACACTGAAACTTCTTTTACACCCAAGTTCTTCATCTTCTCTATTGAGAGAAATTGGAGCATATATTAATTTATTTACTCATTGAAAACAAATAGACTCATTTCAAAGAGAATTGAGGATTTAGTTTTTGTTGATACAAATCTTCGTCTTCTCTCGGAAAAAGAATAAGGTTTATAATGAATGAGCAACAAAAATGTTAGATGTTGGTGGAGATGAATGAGTTCTATTTGATGGAGCTGATATTCTTGAAGCTGTTATTTTTTTCTCGATGAACTTGAACTAGAAGCGCTCTTTTTTATGATATTGAAGAGAAAATATTAATAATGTTGGAAATTCACCAAAGTCTATGATGAATTTCTACCACAATGACAATTTAATTATGAGACAAAAAAAAAAGAAGACAAGACATAATTTCTACAAAGTTTCTCTCTGCTCACAAACTGTGAAAACTTTGTTATTCATTTTGCAACTGCAAAATACTGTGAATGACTTGCTTGACTTGCTTACAAAAATAGGGGTTACTCCCTCTATTTATAACTGAGCTTACACCCTAAGCCCAAAGCCCAAAATATCTTTTTGTTACTAAATCAAATCCAATTTATTCTAGACTTAAATCAAATCTATTTAAATCTAAAACAAATCAAATCTTTTCGACACATAGTTTCGACACATTGGATTACAATTTAACACACCACCTAATTCATTGTGTCTAAACTATCTATGTTCATCATGGCTCTTAGCTTTCTGAATACTTCGACTTGCATTCCCTTCGTCATGATGTCTGCAATCTGATTCTCAGTTCTGCAGTGTTCCAAATTCATCCTCCCATCTGTTACCTACTCTCAAAGATAATGGAACCTCATTTCGATGTGCTTACTTCGACCATGTGCTATTGGATTCTTCGCCAGATTAATAGCTGACATGTTGTCTATCTTCATGGTAATTGCTCCATGATTTTTCCCTGTTATCTCTTCGACCAAGTTCACCATCCAAGTTGCTTGACATGCACAAAGAGAAGCAGCTATGTATTCTGCTTCGCATGATGATAATGCCACTACTGGTTTCTTTCTTGACTTCCAAGCAACTGGTGCACCACCTAGCATAAATACATATCCTGCTGTTGACTTTCGATTTTCAGCATCACTACACCAACTCGAATCAGTGTATCCCACTAACTTGCATTCTTTTCCTTTATCAACTGCAGGAAACAAAATGCCATAATCGAAAGTTCCTTTGAGATACCTTAGTATCCTCTTCACTGCTGATAGATGTGATACCTTTGGCTTCTGCATGAATCTACTTACCATACCTACACTATATGCTAATTCAGGCCTTGTATGACAAAGGTATCTCAATGATCCAATAAGTCTTCTATATTGGGTTGGATCAACACCATCTTCATCTGCATCTTTCGAAAGTTGTAGTCTTGGTTCTGCAGGTGTCGAAGTTGAGTTGCATTCTTCCATCTCAAACCTCTTGAGAATTTCTCCTGCATATCTTCTTTGATGCATCATCAAACCTCTATTGTTCTTGTAGAATTCGATACCAAGGAAATATGAAATCTCACCCAAATCAAACATTTCGAATTCTTTGCTGAGATCACCTTTGAAGTCTTCGATCTCACTTTTACAGCTACCTGTTATCAACAAATCATCTACATAGAGACATAATATAAGCAATTTACTCTTGCTTCTTCTTACATATACTCCATGTTCAGTTGTGCACTTCATAAATTCCTTCTCCCTTAGAAAACTATCAATTTTCTTATTCCAAGCCCTTGGAGCTTGTTTCAATCCATACAGGGCTTTATGTAGCATGTACACCTTTCTTTCTTCGTCATGTTTCACAAACCCAACTGGTTGTTCAACATAGACTTCTTCATCTAAGGGTCCATTTAGGAATGCACACTTCACGTCCATCTGACATATGTGCCAACTGTTTATTTCTGCTAGACCAACAACCAACCTGATTGTTTCGATCCTTGCAACAGGTGCAAAAACTTCATCGAAGTCTATTCCTTCTTTCTGTAGAAATCCTTTCGCCACAAGTCTTGCTTTGTGTCGAGTTACTTCACCTTTCGAATTCGTTTTCACTTTGTATACCCACTTGACATCAATTGCCTTCTTGCCTTGAGGCAATTCGACAAGTGACCAAGTGTTGTTGTCTTCGATAGACTTTACTTCTTCGTTCATTGCTTTCACCCACTTCGAATCCTTTAATGCTTCAGCTGCATTAACGGGTTTGACATCTGCATAGAAAGCATAATGTACCAGCTCACCTTCATTATCTATTACATCATCTGATGTAATCACACAATCTTGCAATCTTGCATGCATGCGTCTTGTTCTTTGAGGCTTGCTTGTACTTGGTATATCTGCTGGTTCCTCTTGTCGAACTTCTCTTTCGACTTGAGTTTCTGGCTCTTCAAGAAGAATTCCCACTGAATATTTTTTGATATTTTCAGTCCAATCTCATTCTTTAAACTCATCTATGATCACGTCCCTGCTGATCACGATTTGCTTTTTCACTGGATCGAACAATTTGTAGCCTCCTGTCGAATGATATCCAACTAGAATCATTTGACTTGACTTGTCATCAAGTTTTCTTCTCAAATGATCTGGCACATGTTTATGTGCAATAGATCCAAATACCTTCAGATGACTCAAGCTAGGCTTCACACCATACCAACATTCTTCTGGAGTAATTCCTTCTAGCTTCTTTGTAGGACATCAGTTCAAAATGTATGTTGCAGTCAAAACAGCTTCACCCAAAAACTCTTTAGGTAAATTCTTTCCTTTCAACATACTTCTCACCATATTCATGATGGTTCAATTTTTCCTTTCTGCAATTCCATTTTTTTGTGGAGTATAGGGTGGCACCACCTCATGCACAAACCCTTCCTTTTCACATAATCTGTCGAAGTCTTTCGACACATATTCTCCACCACCATCAGTTCTTAAAACTTTGAGCTTTCGACCACTTTGTCTTTCGACCATAGACTTAAACTTGGTAAATACTTCGATCACTTCACTTTTCTTCTTGATCAGGTAAGTCCATAGCTTTCGACTGAAATCATCTATGAATGTAACAAAGTATTTGTTACCTCCCATCGAATCCACCTGGATTGGTCCATATACATCAGAGTACATGACTTCAAGACTAGCCTTCGATCTGCTTCCTGCATCCTTGCTGAATCTATTCTTGTGTTGCTTCGCCTGCACACATTCCTCACATACCTCGTTTGGAATGTCAATTTCTGGCAATTCTGAAACCATATTTCTTCTCTTCAAATCTCTGATGTCTCTGAAGTTGAGATGGCCTAGTCTATAATGTCATATTCATTCATCTCTGCTAGCTGCAGTCGAAAGGCACTTGTGCTCCATCACATTTAGTTCAATCTTGAAGGTTCGATTCTGAGACATAGGAGCTTTCAAGATTAATCTTCCATTTGCATCAACAACTCTCATCATCTTATCTTTGATTGACACTTTATAATTCTTTTCGACCAACTGCCCTATACTGAGCAAATTGCTCTTCATGCCTGGTATGTACAACACATTGGAGATTACTGACCTTTTTCCATCTTTCCTCGTAATCATAACATCACCAATACCTTCAGCTGCTAGGGTATTGTCATTTGCAAATTTTACCATATTTTTCATTGAGGGCTTTATATTGACGA